GAGGAGGAGGAGGAGGACAATGGCGAGCTTGAAGGCCTCTTGGGCCGTCTTTGGGGCCTCTTGGCGGTCCTGGGGGCCTCTTGCGTATCTCGGGGAGCCTCTTGGGGCCTCTTGGGGGTCTCTTGGGGCCTCTCGGGGATCTCTTCCTCTTGGGGCCTCCTGGGCGCTTCTTGGGGCCATCTTGGAGGAGGTCTACCAAAGAAGGGGGGGTTGGGAATTAGCGTTGTCCCCCAAGGAGGCCAAAATGGGGCCAAAACCTTAGTCAAATCAATGATTTTGGCTTCCTCGCCGAGGCCATCTTGGACGCCCCAACGACCCGCGGACCGCCCCGTCCAGGTCCACGGGAGGGGGTAGGGGGAGGGGTAAACCCCTCCCCGAAGGGGAAGACGGAGGGGTGGAAGAGGAAACGCTCTAAACCACTGACGCCCAGAGGGCTGGTGGGATTATTCTGACGATGGTGGTGGTGGTGGTGGTGATAATGCTGCTGCTAATGATGATGATGAGGAGGAGGAGGAGGAGCAGGAGGAGGAGGAGGAGGAGGAGGAGGAGGAGGAGTGGAATGGGAGGAGAGAGGGAGGAGGAGGAGAGGAGGCGCGGGGAGGCGGGGCGGGAGGCGGAGGCGGAGGAGGAGGAGGGGCGAGGGGAGAGGTAGGAGGAGGAGGCAGGAGGAGGAGGAGGAGGGAGGAGGAGGCGGAGGAGGAGGCTGAGGAGGCGGATGAGGGCCTTCTGGGGGCCTCGGGGTGCGCAGGCGCCGCGCCGCGGGGCGGCGGCCGCCCGTCCGCGGCTGCTGCTGCTCCTCGCCGCGGCGGCGCTGCTGCCTCGGCCGGCCACGGGCGTCCTCGATGCTCCGAGCGCGGGCGGCCCCGGGCGGCGCGGGGGCTTCGTGGCGCTGCGGGTGGACGCCGGCGGCGCGCTCTCCAGCGAGGTGACCCGGGAAGGCAAAACGGCCTCATGCTGTTCTGTCAGCCAAGGCACGAGGAGCCCAGTGGCAGGGAGCGGAGAGGCGGCACGTGGGGACGGGAGACAGACCGACGACGGGAAGCACGGCATACACACAAAGCCTCGGAGTTCGGCGCGGGTTTTCTCGGATCGGCGCCGGGGCCCCCCTGGCAGGGCCTCCAGCGCCGCCCCCGGCGCGCTCCGCGCGACAGGAAGCAGGGTCCATCAGGGGCAACGATGGGAGGGGATAGGCACAGAGGGGGATGCATCGACCCCCAATCGCCCATTGATCGCCGATAGGGGCCCGATTGCCCCAACCTGCCCAGGAAGGTGCGGATCCACTATCAGGGGCCTATCGCCGATCTATCGGCGATGTATCGCCGATTCCAGGTCGATGTTCCCCCTCTATCCCTATCCCCCCCTTATCGTTGCCCCTCAGTCCAGCGCCGATCCAAGAGTTCCGCTCGGAACTCCGAAGCGTTTTTTCCATGTTTCCGTCATTACTTGTCAGGAGGGGCACAGACGCAAGTAATCGGCGATTCCCAGGAGAATCTGGAAAGTATGGGAAGTGGGGGGGAAAGACGAAGACCCAGGAAGTATGGGAAAATATGGGGAATCCTGGGATTCGCGTGTGTGTGTGTGTGTGTGTGCATTTGTTTGTGTGTCCCACGGCCCCTTCGCGCTTGCTCCCCGAGAGGAGGGCGCGGGCGGCGAGGGCGAGGCGAACGGCAGCGGCGCGGAGGCGCCGCCGACGGGCGCCGCCGCCGCGCTCTCCGCCGCGGCGGGGGGCAGCACCGTCCAAGCGATGCCCATCCCCCTCCGGGCCACGGCGCATTCGCCCTGCCGGCCCACGGGGGCTCGACGCGAGCGGCGTCTTGGCGACCCCGTGGGCCGATTTCTCGTCCTGATCTCGTTTTTTTGCAGCAGGGGCGGAGCCGAAGGCAGAGCGGGGGAGCACGAGAGCGTGCAGTGGGGGCCCAGTGCCAAGAAGCACGCTGCTTTCGGCGTCACCCCAACACCTCATACTATGTGTGCGTCGCCCCCTCGGGGGCGATGCGCGAACCGAGAAAACCTACAGTATATGCGTCGTGGCGGGCGCTTTCTGGCCTCACCGCTCGGAAAACGATATACTACAAGATGGGTATACTATATGTTCGGGTCGGACGCGCGCCTCCAGGGAGGACATATAGTATTACTATGTCTCTGTGCGTCCCATGCTCGCCTCCATGGTACCCTGGGTTTCTTAGGTTTCGATGGCTCTGCTGTGGAGAGCGCGACGTTCCCGCACCAGAAATCAATGGACGTCCTGGGGTCTCAGGGTTACAGTGCCGTTTTTAATACATGCTCCGCGTGCGGATCATGTATTAAACATGCAGGGATTTAGTATTAAAAACAAGGATGAGTTCATGCACACATTTATTCATATACATTAATCATGTATTACAATCAAAGATTATCAAACATCCTATGTATTAAAAACTGCCCTGTAGGTTTCTTGTGGGAGGTTTCTTGTGGACTGACCTCAGCTGTAACGAAAACGGAGAACTCTGCTTAGGTCGAGCCCTGCGAGCCCACCCTCCTGGGTCGGGACTTGCCCCGCGAGGCCCGAGGTAGCGGGCACGTGTGACCACCCGGTTGGGTACCTGGGCCTCCGCCTGGGTTTAAGTGGGGCGTGCCCCTTCCCCCTGCAGGAGGAACCTTCGAAAAGTTAGTCAACTCATAGTCGGGGGACGAGTTCTCGACTATTCTCGATCGTTCTCGAACACTTGTTGCCTTTTTTTTGTTCTCCAAATCCGCTTGTAGGGGGACATGCCCGAGCTAAGTCTGGGTTTCTCCCCTGCGCGGCAGTCCCGACCCTGTGTTTCTCGGGGGCGGGTCTCTCATCCAGAAGCCGGCTCTGTTGAGGGATATCACCATACTCCCACACCGATCTTGGGCCCAGGCCGATCCCGGGCCCCCGGCTCGGTGCGTGAGCCCTCCTGCCCGAGCCAGGAGGTCGTATGCACCGATCCTGGGCCCAGCAGGAGCCTGGCCAGGATTTGGTGTCGGTGTATGCCTGGTATCCTCCTGGATCTTTCAATTTATACCTGGTATTCTCCTGGATCGCTGTATACCTGGTCGATTTTTCCCGAATTCCCAATTCCACATTCTGCTCACGTTTCGTATATGTTGTCTGGCTGGTAGTCGAATTGTACACCCATGCCCTGCACAGGGCCGAGCAGCCGACAGGCATGCTCGCGTGGTTCGCTCGCTCGCCTCCTGGATACTGTTCCCTACCTAGGCTCTGCCTAGAAGGGTTCTTACTCTCTATGTTAAAGGGGTCGGGCAGTGGGCCTCGCCCCGGGCGGTTCCCCCCAGGATCCGCCCCGCGGCCCCCCCAGTTACGTCCCCTTAGCTTAGCGTTGCTTATCTCATCTTAGCTTAGCTTATTTCATCTTAGCTTAGCTTAGCTTCATCTTAGCTCAGGTTTATCTTAGCTTAGCTCACCTTCATCTTAGCTTCGCTGAGCTTTAGCATAGCAGAGCACAACATAGCATAGCATAGTGTAGCATAGTATAGCGCATCACAGCATATCATAGCATAGCCCAGCATAGCATAGCATAGCGCAGCATAGCATAGCATATCATATCATAGCATAGCATAGCATAGCATAGCGCAGCACCGCACAGCACAGCATATCACAGCGCAGCAGAGCATAGCATAGCATAGCATAGCAAAGCACAGCATAGCATAGCATAGCATAGCATGGCATAGCACAGCTTAGCATAGCATAGCATAGCATATCATAGCTTAGCATAGCACAGCGCAGCATGACATAGGATAGCTTAGCATATCATAGCATAGCATATCATAGCATATCGCAGCATAGCATAGCATAGCATAGCATAGCGCAGAATAGCATGGCATAGCATAGCATAGCATAGCAACTAATGCTGCTTTCCTAGGAGCTCCAACTTCTAGGTAGGGTCGCACTGGGGTATTTTTTTTAGGGTCCGGCGATAACCCGGGTTCAGGATAACCTAACCTTGCCGGTTGTGCAGGTCCGGGGTGGTGGGGCGCGGGCATATGCAGGGCTGCCCACAGCGCGAAGGTTAGCTTATCGGCCGACCCCCTCCTCCCCTCCCCTTCCCCCCCCGGATAACCCGGGTTATCGCCGATTCAGTCGGCCCTGATTAGTAGGTCGACCATGCCAGATCAGGGGTGCCCTTGGGTGCCCCTGTGCCCTGTGCCTCGCGACCCATGCCTCCTGCACCCCCCATGGCCATGTGGCCCTCGGAAGGGACTTGTGTCCTCTCGCGTGTCCTGTCCAATCATCAGGAGGGGAAAAAACACAGACACAATTAATCGTCGATCCCCAAGAAAATGTGGTAACATACGGGAATACGGGCGGGAAAACAAAAACCCAGAAAACATAGGAAAATATGGGGAATCATTTTACCCGTGTGTATTTATTTGTGTGTCCTTGGGCCCCTTGGAATCGAGGCCGACGGTCTCCTCCTGCATAGGGACCGGTATCCTCCTGCATGGGGGTACAGTCAGAAACCCTCATCAGGACGCGCGGTAAGGACGCAAGACCCTTGGAAGCCGAAGTTGCGATTTTTGGGGCGGCAGACGATGAAAACCTCAAGGCCGCAAGAGCAAGGAAGAGCAAGGACGCGAGGGTACCCTGAGCAAAGTCGCGCGTCCTTATTAGGGCTTCTGACTGTAGGCATCGCTGGCACGGTGCCCCAAAGGGGGTGGTGCGGCGCGAGCCGCGGCGGGCCTGGGCGCGGGCCGCGCCCGAGGCGGGCCGCGCGGCGGCCCGCCGCCCGCAGGGCGCCACGCCCTGGGCCGCCCGGCGGCCGGCGTCGCTGCAGGACGGCGGCGGTGCGGTCGGCTGTGCCCGGTGGCTGCCGCCGGTAGCGCTGTTCAGGAGGGAAATAACACAGACGCAATTAATCGTCGATTCCAAGGAAAATGTACGAAAATGTGGGAAGGGGGGGGGAAGACAGAAACCCAGAAAATATGGGAAAATATGGGGAATCTGGTTATTTGTATGTATTTATTTGCGTGTCCCAGTTCCCCTTTAGTTGTGGAGGACGATCAATGGCGAGGAAGCGTGTCGCCAAATACTTCCAGATGCCTAAAACATGCGTTGAGACTGTTTTAGACATGTGAAAGACATGCTTTTACCATTTCCAGGACATTTTTCCGACATTTCAAGCACGTTTTTAATTCGATGATCGGACTGTTAGGATGTCCATTGTCGTGGCATCCACAACGGTAGCGGCATTGCAAGTACTCAGAGAAGGAAAAGGGACCTATACCTCTACCCTCCCCTCGTTTTCCCCTTTTTGGGCCTCCTGGCCTCCATCGTCGCCACGGCTGGATTCGCTTCAAAATCCTGGTCAGAACGCACCCCAGGAGAGGTCCGGGGGTTAGCGGTATCGGTACCTTTTGGTTTCCCCAAGTACGATAGTCAGGAGCAACGATAGCGGGGGATAGGCATAGTCGGGGATGCATCGACACGCCATCGCCCATGGATCGCCGATAGGGGCACGATAGCACCAGCCTGCCCAGGAAGGTGCGGATTCACTATCGGAGGCCTATCGCCGATCTATCGGCGATGCATCGCCGATTCCAGGGCGATATTTCCCCCTCTATCCCTATCCCCCCCTATCGTTGCCCCTCAGTATTGCAAGTACGGTAGCGGGACTGGGACCGCGGCGATACCGGTACCAGTACGGTACTGGGACCGCGCGGTACCGGCACGGTATCAGGACCACGGCGGGCATTGGTACGGTATTTCGATGGACGACGGGGAGCGGAGGCAGGAACGAGGAGGAGGAGGTGGAGGAGGAGGAGGAGGAGGAGTGGGAGGAAGAGGAGGAGAATGAGGAGGACAACCAACTACGCATGGGCAGTTCGTTATCACCAGAGGACCAGGACGGCTTCGCCTACGTCGGCACGATGGCAGCCAGAGTGCCCGACTCCACATCGATCGACGTTGAGAAGTCAATCTCAACATCAGATCTGACAGCGCTCATATGGGCATACGCATGTATATATTTATATACATATTTTATATATGTATATAGCCAGACACACAATACAGCCAGCCACGACACAGCCACACTCACCAACTAGCTCCACCAGCCAGGCTCAATCGCAACTCACCTACACACGGACCACGTCTACGCTCACAAAGGGCACCGACGGAATGAGCTCGCTGACTCAGTTTCCAAGAGATAGGGCGAACGTGCAGAACCATGCCCACAACCAAAAGTGAAAGAAGTATTCGACGCCAAGCCCCAACGCAGTGGGGAATGGCTACTGCAGGCAGACGGTGCGACTCGGGCGGCGTACCCCAACCTGACCGACCACGGCATGACGGTCACACCATCAACGGCCATACCGACACGGGCATTTCGAATCAAAACAGGAGCAGACCAGCAAGGAGGTGACCGTCAGCCCCAACGCGATGACTTTCAACGTGCGTGACTTCAAGGAGCCAGCCCACACCGGCAGAGAACATTCGAGAAATATCACGAGAATCGAGGTCATCAGCAATCAGCTCAACCAGCTCAATCGGCATGCGAGAGGCCAGGCTGCCCAGAGGTACGATCAACATGCACGGCTTCCACGTAATATCCAGTGATCACGACCGTTACAAACTGGGCTGTTCACTTCTGATCAACATGGACTTGCCTGGCGTAGAAAGCACAGGCGACAAGAAATACCTCCGCCCCAACAACTCCAAGGTACTCCACCAAGAACCACGACTACTCGTAGTCCGCATCACGTCACCAGGCCTGAACAAAAACAATCGGTGGCGGTAGCTCACGCCACACGTGGACATTCGGGGCAGGGGAAGACAGACATATTTTGGACAGGCTTGACCAGCACGATCAACAAGTTCAGCGTCGACATGCCCCTGATCGACATCAAAGCCACCGCGGGTGAGCGTGTGACGGATTCATCCGGAGACTGCGGAGAGAGATGGGAGGAGAAAGAGGCAGGCACCCGCTTCCACGAGTATTTTTCGGCATACCAGCTTATTGCAGTCAACGCGGCAATGGAGTGCAGAGTCCTGCATATACCTACAAAGGCGACGAAGCAGAGCGCATCGACTGCATCGTCATCCCAACAAGCAACCTCGACGCCGTCGCGGACGTCAGAACCGTCGGGGACATGGACATGGTGCAGGAAGACGTGGAGCACTTGCCCATCATCGTGCGACCTACGTGGCAGTCTCCCACACTAAGCGTACAGCACCACGACTTGACCAGAGCAAGCAGATGCGAACTACCAAACGCAGTTCAAGATATACTTACAAGACATCTCATTCCAACCACGGGGTACTGACATCCACGACCACGCCTACAATCTGAACTCGAGAGTGAAAGAGGCCGCGGACAAGGTCTAGAAACAGGAGCCAATCATTCAGAAGCCTGGCATCACCGACGCCACCTTCCAGGCTACGTCGAGCTTGTGAAAAGCTACGACGAGAGTGGAACGCAGATCCTCAATCAACGCGGGCTCACATCAGCACAGCTAAGCTGGCATGCCAATTGGCTGAGGCGACGATGCCGACAATCGCAGTTTGTCATGCACTGGGTGACCCATCATCCTTCATCATATTGATCAGGGCATTCTGGTGGTACGGCATCCGACAGAAAACGAATACCTACAGCCGGCAATCAACGCGTTTAAACAAAAGTCGGCAATGCAGCTACGTATCGAATTCGTGCTGATAAGGGCGCCTACCTGGAGGCATGTGCCGACAGCATCCACGACGCCAACGAGATGGGGAAGAACAGAGCAGCATGGAAGAGGTCAAACGTCTATTGCGATATAGAAGAAGGCCACCGACAATGATCACAGAGCATCTCTACAATCTCGACGACGACAGGCAACCGATAGCGTGCCAGCAGGAGCACGCGCAAGAACACGGGAGGCCGACGACGTAGCCAGCACATGCAGCTGAAGTGCCAACCACGCCATCAATTCGCGGATCGACATAGACACCCCGTCGCCAACGTCGCCTCGAGCTCGGGGCGAGCTTCCACGTGGCCAAGCCACGCTGACCAGGAGGCCCCGACAGGATAGCTGACGATATGTGCCGCGCCGCCTGCAAAGCACCACCACTGATTCCTGAGGACGAAGCTCAGAGACATCACGGCCAACCTACTACGTGAAGTCCCATGCGGGGCCAGGCCCAGCAGGAGCATCGACTTCGCAACCCACGCCACCCTTACCTACATCAGCATCCTGAAGGCAAGGGGGAGAAGCGGTATGCTGACGTTTCTGGCTTCTGAACGTCGCTTTTCACACCGTCCAGCTGGAATTCCTCTACAGAGCACCTACCGAAGATGACGCCCTACGCGACTTACTCGACAGCGTGGTCATCCCGCCAACGTTCCAACCGTTCTTCGAGTAAGCAATGCAAGACTCTCCACACATCGACAACAACATAGATGACGAGCACTTCGTCGCACTGCTTAGAGATGCACAAGCCGACCTCTGGGCAAACAACAATGAGGGGATCGAGCCAAATTGCCCAGCCACGGGCGGGCGTTCGACCAGGAGTGGCTTTTGCGAGGATCACCCAGGCAATTGTGACGGGCCTGGTCGAGCGAGGGATGCAGTGCGACATTGACCGCGACAGCGAAACCGGCCCCGCATTTGCAGGAGGACGCCGCCAACCGACCGGAAACGACGACGGAGGCATATCACTTACAGGCGCCTCATATGTAGACGACTTGACTGCATGCGCCGGCACGCTTGCGTGGCCACGGAACGCGCCTTTAACACCAGCAGTCTCAATATCATGCTACTCGTATTCGGCAGCTCGCCGAGCCCGTTCCACTACTCGCAAAGTGCCTGCTCGCAAACGTCCGAAATGTACAGGTCTTCCTCTGTGTAGTCTGTCGTAACTCCCCCTTGGAGGATCCAGGCAATTTGCGAGCAGTTGATTTGCGAGTGGTGGAGCGCGCCTGTCCAGCAAGGGCTCCAGCGTCGGATGTCTTGGCTTGCGGGCTTCTTGAGCCCTCCTTCTGTGCGTCCATCCTCCCCCCCCACTCCCCTTCCCTCTTCTTTTCTTGCTCCGCCCCTCCCGCGCTCCCTTCCGCATCCAGAGGCTGAGCAGCAACGGCATGAGCGTGCACTGTCAGAGGTCCGAGCGGATTTCTTGGATAGGCGCCGCTGGACCTCGCTTCCCTGGCGGCGCCTCCAGTGCCGCCCTCCAGCGTTTTCGGCGTCGCCAGGCAAGGGGGGGGCCAGCGCCGATCGGAGAAGATCCACGCGGAACTGCGAAAGTCTATGTGTACAGCCGGGGCGTTGACCTAAGGAACCCTAAATAAGGAACGAGCCCCCTTTTTTTACCTAACAGCTTTTGCTGATAGGTTTCTAGTGGTCTCAAAAGAGAGCAGCAGATGACTCCACAGGGGGGTCGGGGCGGGACCCGGGGGCTGCCGCCGAAGCCCAAATCGCTTGGGACATCCTCGCAAAATCGCTCTTGGCGCTGCTAGAACTCCATCCCCGGCGTACATTTTGGATGCCCGGAGCCAACTGTAGGCCACTTCGTGCTCTTCGACTTCCCAGAACTCCATTCCCGGGCCACATTTTGGATGCCCGGAGCCAACTGTAGGCCACTTCGTGCTCTTCGACTTCCCAGAACTCCATTCCCGGGCCACATTTTGGATGCCCGGAGCCAACTGTAGGCCACTTCGTGCTCTTCGAGTTCCCAGAACTCCATTCCTGGGCATGATTTTGAATGCCCGGAGCCAACTGTAGGCCACTTCGTGTTTTTCTAGTTCCCAGAACTCCATTCCTGGGCCACATTTTGAATGCTGAGGCAGGCTGATGCTGAGGCTGAGGCAGGCTGAGGCTGAGGCAGGCTGAGGCTGAGGCCGAGGCTGAAGGCAGACTGAGGCTGAGGCTGAAGCAGGCTGAGGCTGAGGCTGGGGCAGGCTGAGGCTGAGGCTGAGGCAGGCTGATGCTGAGGCAGGCTGAGGCTGAGGCTGAGGCTGATGCAGGCTGAGGCTGAGGCAGGCTGAGGCTGAGGCCGAGGCTGAAGGCAGACTGAGGCTGAGGCTGAAGCAGGCTGAGGCTGAGGCTGAGGCTGAGGCTGAGGCAGGCTGAGGCTGAGGCAGGCTGAGGCTGAGGCAGGCTGAGGCTGAGGCTGTGAGTGCGACTGCCGTTGCCGCTGCGACTGTCATCGCGAATGCGACTACGACTGCGAGAACAGCAGAATTCTACAACTGGATTTTCATCTGAATCTTCAGGGGAATGCTTTCAGATATGCTTCTACACATCGCTGTTAGGTTGCTTTGCCGGGATAATCCATAAGTTAAACTTCGATTTCCCATCGAAGCCATAAGGAAAACCTGAGGCAAGCTGTGAAACAACCAAGGAAAACGGAGCTCCTCCCCACCGAAAAGGATTCCTTCTTCAGCGCCGTGACTGTATGCATTGTTTTCTCCCAGGATCGGAGCAACTACTCCGACGAAGGGTCTCTGGCGTGCCGCGCGTCCACGCATGCGCCGAAGGACCTCTGCCCCGCGTCATGCCCGTACGCCGCACAGGACGCGGAAGTGCCGTGCAACTTCTACTGCGTGGCGAAGTCCGACTGCGGTGTGTTCCCCACCATGAACGGGGAGGAGGTGGGCGACGGAAAAAACAACGGGGTTGATTGCGCGGACATTCGCGCGTAAGCTGCTTTCGTCAGGTCTATAGGTCTTCTTTTTCTCCACGTGGAGTGCCACGCCAGCGACCCGCGTAAGTCACCGCGTAAGGTCGCTATGCCATCGTGATTGTGCGTCTGACTCGTTCCTTTTCGCTTCTCAGGTGGCGGACGCGGAGCTGAAGGTGTGCCGTAAGTGCCAGGTGGACGGCTGCGAGAAGTGCGCTGGGGACGGCGGGGACCACTGCGAGGTATGTGACTCTGGGTTCGAGCTGGACTCCACCACGCGACAGTGCATCAGCACAGGCGTCAAGCTTCACCTCCCAGCCGTCGGCGCGGGTGTCATTCTTGGGCTGGTCGTCCTGCTGCTGATCTGGTACGTTGATCTCTTCCTGCGGCCCCCCGACAATTCGGAGATCCTGAAAAAGGCCATGGAGCACCGGGAACAGCTGAAGATCCGAAACGAGGAACCGAATTATGATATTAGGAGTTTCACTAATCACAATTAATAGTATTAAAAATGAAAGGATACTACGAGCACAATGAGTAAGTCGATATTCTACGAACGGCCAGAACAGAGCTAACATTGAGAAGAGAGGGGCACGAATGATCTTACCAATCTCTAGAGAACGATGACGCGGGTAAGAAGGGTAAGCATGCTGATGACGGCCTCCCTAAATGGGACCAAGAAAATCACCACCCACCAAACCACCCCAACCCAACCCGAAGGCTCAGATTTACCCTCGATTTCTAGTGGGGGGGGGGTCCAGGAACATCGAAAAAACACATGTGGAGCCCATACCCCCCCAAACCCGAAATTCGGGTCTTCGGGTTGGGTTGGGGTGGTCTGGTAGGTAGTCAGAAAAGGAGACACAGCATGAACATAACCCTTCGGAGGTCCACGCACATCTCCTGGATCGGCGCTGACCCACCCCCCTGACGGGCGGAGCGCGCCAGCGGCGGCACCGGAGGCGTCGCCAGGAGGGTTCAGCGCCGACCCAGGCTTGGCATCGCTCGGACGTGTGCATTTTTCCTTCGGCGAGGGCCATCGAGGAGCAGCCTTGATCATTTGGCGAAAAAGCCACGCACGAAACCAAAAAACACAGGGAATGGACGTCCGAGCGATGGCGAGCAGGAGGCCCGCGCGGAGCCCCGAAGGTTTGTACTAGGTTGGGCATGGCCTCCTACTGGCGGATGTCTCTGTGGGGGTCCTGGCGGTGGGCCGCCGATCTCCGTGGCCGGCCCGTGGGCCCGGGTGCCCTGGTGCCCGGAGGTGGTGCCCGGGTGCCTGGGGGTGCCCGGGGGTGCCCGCAGCTGCCCGGGGGTGCCCGGAGCTGCCTTGGGGTGCCCGGGTGCACGGGTGTACGGGTGCTGTATCGCCCTATAGCCCTATAGCGCTATAACCCTATAGCCCTATAGCCATATAGCCCTATAGCCCAATAGCCCTATAGTTCAATCGCCCTATAGCCCAATAGCCCTATAGTCCTACAGCCCTACAGCCAAATAGCCCTATAACCCTATAGCCCTAGAGCCCTATAGCCCTTTGGCCCTATAGCCCTTTAGCCCATAGCCCTATAGCCCTATAGCCCAATAGCCCAATAGCCCAATAGCCCAATAGCCCAATAGCCCTATAGCCCTACAGCCCTATAACCCTATAGCCCTATAGCCCTATAGTCCTATAGCCCTATAGCCGTATAGCCATATAGCCCAATAGTCCTATAACTCTATAGCTCTATAGCCTTTTAACCGTACCACAAATTCGGATTGGGGTTTCTCTCCGATATCATTCCCTACCTAGGCTCTGCCTAGAGGGGTTCTTACTCTCTGGGCTTAAAGGGGCCGGGCAGTGGAAAGCGCCCCGGGCGGTTCCCCCAGTATCCGCCCCGCGGTTCCCCCAGTTACGTCCCCTTAGCTTAGCGTCGATTATCTCATCTTAGCTTAGCTTATTTCATCTTAGCTTAGCTTAGTTTCATCTTAGCTCAGGTTTATCTTAGCTTAGCTTACCTTCATCTTAGCTTCGCTGAGCTTTAGCATAGCAGAGCACAGCATAGCATAGCGTAGCATAGCATAGCGCAGCACAGCATATCATAGCATAGCCCAGCATAGCATAGCATAGCGCAGCATAGCGTATGTTAGCATAGCATAGCGCAGCGCAGCACAGCATAGCACAGCGCAGCATAGCATAGCATAACATAGCATAGCATAGCATAGCATATGGGTGTAATTCCCTACCTAGGCTCTGCCTAGAGGGTTAGCTTAGCTTAGCTTAGCTTAGCATAGCGCAGCGCTGCATTTGCATAGCATAGCATAGCATAACATAGCCAATCATAGCATAGCATAACATAGCGCAGCATAACATAGTATAGCAAATCATATCATATTATATCATAACATATCATAGCGCAGCTTAGCATATAATGTCATACCATATCATAGCTGAGCATATCACAACGCAGCTTGACATAGCATATCATAGCTTAACATAGCATAGCATAGCATTCCATATCATAACATAGCGCATCATAGCATAGCATATCATAACATAGCATAGCATAGCGCAGCATAGCGCAGCATAGCATAGCATAGCATAGCATAGCATAGCATAGCATAGCATAGCAACTAATGCTGCTTTCCTAGGGGCTCCAACTTCTAGGTAGGGTCGCACTGGGGTATTTTTTTTGACAATTTTGAATGTTCTTCCTGTAGAGGGACATGACCGACTTAAGGTTCGTATGCTCGTGCCGTTTTTTCCCTTCCCCCCGAGGACGGCGTAGAGCGTCCGGCGCTGCCCGTGTGGGAGGGCTGGTGGTGGAAGACGAGCGTCCACGAGGATTTGCGGGTCGGCGGCCCCGGGTTCTCAGGGGTCACGTTGGGGGTGATGGGCTCAGGGGGGGGAACGCATCGACCCCCAATCGCCCATTCATCGCCGATAGGGGCCCGACCGCCCGGTAATGTCAGGGCCCCGTTAGCACGATATGAGCTTGTCGCCGATCTTTCGTCGACGTATCGCCGATTCCAGCTCGCCCCCATGAGCCTGACACCCCCTGTCGTTGCTCCGCAGTTCCTGCTCCTCCTCCTCCTCCTCCTCCTCCTCCTCCTCCTCCTCCTCCTCCTCCCTTCTCCCCCTCCTCCCTCCTGAGGTTCCTGCTGCACATGGACTTCCAGCTGTTCCTGCTGGCCTGGGCCTTCCTCGCGGCCCTGGGCTGGCTCCTTCGAGGGAGAACACGGCACAGATCTAAAGCCTGAAGTCCTCCTCCTCCTCCTCCTCCTTCTCCACCTCCTCCTCCTCTTCCTCCTCCTCCTCCTCCTCCTCCTTCCTCCTCCTCCTCCTCCTCCTCCTCCTCCTCCTCCTCCTCCTCCTCCTCCTCCCCCTTTCGACAGGTGCATTCGCAAGTCAGTTCTAGTTCAGACCAGTTGAAGAGCATATTCGTTGCAATTGTTTCTTCGTGCATTGCCAGGGAGGGTCACCTGACATCGACCGTTTGCCACAAACCACATACACTGTCGGACCTCCGCACGGACATGTTGTATCGGCGCTGGAACCCCCTGGCGGCGCCTGGGCGCGGAGCTGCGAGCACTTGTGCGCTGATGCAGTCTTGCCTGCTCCCAGGCTCGTGTTCGGCCTGGTCGAGCCCACGGCGTTCACCATCGGCCTGCGCGAGACCACGACGTCGCTGCAGCTGTGCAGCGCCGTGCACAACGGCCGGCTCGAGCGGGACGCCCTCCTGGAGAGCAAGACCCTGTTTGTGGGGATCTTCTACGTGGCCAGCGTGGTGGCGTTCCTGGCGTTCGCGGCTCGGCAGCAGCGCAAGTTCGTGCGGCTGGACGACGGGGACGACTCGCTGATGGACTACGCCGCCTTCTGCAAGGGATTTCCCGCCGGAGACAAGGGCGCCGGCATTGAGGAGGAGTACGAGAGCTTCTTCAAGCAGGCCCCTCCTGCCGGGCCCTCTGCCTCTAGGGGCCCTCTGCCACATCTGAGTCTTCCCGGCCCGAGGCCCCTTCCTCTCTCTTCCCCCCCCCTCCATTCTCCTGCCCCTCTCCGTTTGCCCTCCTGCTCCCCCTCTCGTCTTCTCCGTCCCTCTTCCCCTCTTTCCGGTCCTTGACCACCGGTGCTCGGTGACTGTCACGTGGCGCGCGTGAGGTGGCGCGTATGTCTCGAGCGCGCGCTGGCTCCAGTAGCGCGTGCGGAGGCACATGTGTGTATATATATATATATATGTATTATATATATATATATATATATATATATATATATATATGTATATACTCATTTATGTATATACATATATATATATGGTAGCCCCCCCACATGATCATACATATTCGTCTTTACCGCGGCCGCCGATCGATATCTTCTTTCTCCGTTCCCTTCTCCTGTCTCTTCCTTTCTCTCCTCCTCCTCCTCCTCCTCTTCCTCCTCCTCCTCCTCCTCCCCGTGCTATTCCTTCTCGGAATCATCGAAATCGTCAGAAACTAAAGAAAACCTGCAAAAAACCACAAAAAAGCAAAAAAAACAAAAAAAACCAAAAAAAACAACAAAACTATGATTTCGGGAGAACTTCTGGGGAGGGGGCCGGCCAAAGTTCTCCAGAAATCATAGTTTTTTTGTTTTTTTTGTTTTTTTTGGTTTTCTGAAGGTTTTCGCTGGCGTTCGGCCTCCACAGAAGGATTCCTATTGAAATCCTCTGCGAAAGGAGATTCCCATTGAGATCCTCTACGGCTCCTCACCCTCCTCCTTCTGCAACTCACCCTCCTCATCATGCTCGCTTCGAGGCGATACTCACAAATCTAGTTGCGAACGCAGCTTCACAACTAGTTTTGCGAGGAACCTCCCGCTACAAGACACTACTCGCAAAACTAATTGTGAACGGCGCTCCACAACTAGTTTTGTGAGTAATGAGTTCCTCCTCGTCATCGTCATGCTGCTCACTCTCCTCTTCTTCCTTCTCCTGCTCCTCCTGCTCCTCGTCATTCTGCCCCCTCGTCTCCGCTTCGAGGCGACACGCACAAATCTAGTTGTGAACGCAGCTTCACAACTAATTCTGCGAGGAACCTCCCGCTACGAGACACAACTCGCAAAACTAATTGTGAACGACGCTCCACAACTAGTTTTGTGAGTAATGAGTTCCGCCTCGTCGTCGTCATGCTGCTCACCCTCCTCTTCTTCCTTCTCCTGCTCCTCCTGCTCCTCTGCCCTCCTGCTCCTCCTAGTTGTGCAGCTGCGTTCACAACTAGATTTGTGAGTATCGCCTCGAAGCGGAGAGAAGGGGGCACAATGACGAGGAGCAGGAGGAGGAGCAGGAGGAGGAAGAAGAAGAGGGTGAGGAGCATGACGATGACGAGGAGGAACTCATTACTCACAAAACTAGTTGTGGAACGCCGTTCACAACTAGTTTTGCGAGTAGTGTCTTGTAGCTGGAGGTTCCTCGCACAACTAGTTGTGCAGCTGAGTTCACAACTAGAGCTGTGAGTATCGCCTCGAAGCGGAGAGGAGGGGGCACAATGACGAGGAGCAGGAGGAGCAGGAGGAAGAAGAAGAGAAGGGCGAGGGGCATGACGATGCCCTCCTGCTTCTCCTGCTCCTCGTCAGCAGAACTAGTTGTCAACGGCGTTCCACAACTAGTTTTGTGAGTAATGAGTTCCTCCTCATCATCGTCATGCTCCGCACTCTCCTCTTCTTCCTCCTCCTGCTCCTCCTGCTCTTCTGCCCTCCTGCTCCTCCTGCTCGTCATTCTGCCCCCCCCCCTCTGCTCACCTTCCTCTTCTTCCTTCTCCTGCTCCTGCTCCTCCTGCTCCTCGTCATTGTGCCCCCTTCTCTCCGCTTTGAGGCGATACGCACAAATCTAGTTGTGAACGCAAATGCACAAGTACTCTTGCGAGGAACCTCCCGCTACGAATCACTACTCGCAGAACTAATTGTCAACGGCGCTCCACAACTAGTTTTGTGAGTAATGAGTTCCTCCTCGTCATCGTCATGCGCTCACCCTCCTCTTCTTCCTTCCCCTGCTCCTCCTGCTCCTCCTGCTCCTCGTCATTGTGCCCCCTTCTCTCCGCTTCGAGGCGATACTCACAAATCTAGTTGTGAACGCAGCTGCACAAGTAGTCTTGCGAGGAACCTCCCGCTACAAGACACTACTCGCAAAACTAATTGCGAACGACGCTCCACAACTAGTTTTGTAAGTAATGAGTTCCTCCTCGTCATCGTCGTGCTGCTCACCCTCCTCTTCTTCCTTCTCCTGATCCTCCTGCTCCTCGTCATTGTGCCCCCTCCTCTCCGCTTCGAGGCAATACTCACAACTCTAGCTGTGAACTCAGCTGCACAACTAGTTTTGCGAGGAACCTCCCGCTACAAGACACTACTCGCAAAACTAGTTGTGAACGGCGTTCAACAACTAGTTTTGTGAGTAATGAGTTCCTCCTCGTCATCGTCATGCTCCTCACCCTCCTCTTCTTCCTCCTCCTGCTCTTGCTCCTCCTGCTCCTCGTCATTGTGCCCCCTTCTCTCCGCTTCGAGGCGATACTCACAAATCTAGTTGTGAACGCAGCTGCACAACTAGTTTTGCGAGGAACCTCCCGCTACAACACAATTCGCCATATAATGATTCCTATTGAAATTATCAACAGAAGGATTCGCGTTGAAACCCTTCACAGAAGGAGACTTAGGTGGATGAGAAGGAAGAGAAGGAGGAATATGAGGCGGATGAGGAGGATCAGGAGGAGGAGGAGGGAGAGGGAGAAGAACCTCTATAAAACGATTCTTAATGATCAACTGCAACGCAGCCGATTGGATTGTAATGCGTTGCCAACGATTGAAGCCGCAAGCGCTTGGAATGCAATCGACTGGGTTGCGTCTGACAACGTAGCAAAGCATAATCAAGAAGAGCAGGAGGAGGAAGGGGGATGAACGACTGGAGGGATCAAGGGAGCATGTGTATGATCATGTGTGTGGGGGGGGGGGGGCGAGCATATATATATATATATATATATATATATATATAGATTCGCGGGTGCGTTCGTGTGCGCCAAGGGCACCTGCAGACATTCGCACACGCACGCGTGCAAGCAGCCTCCCACTATTCTCCCTCGTTTCCCTGCTCCTCCCCCTTCCAACTCCTGCACGGACGTGAAGTGCACGTTGAGTTACGACGCAGCGCCAGGGTGTGGAGGTGCGCCGTCCTGGGCCAGGGTTGCGAAGCGATTGCGCCAATGACGGGGCAAACGAGTCATTCGCTTGCGTCGGATCTGGACATCATGGCAGCCAGTGTGCACGGTGGGACGAGGATACACGCGAGTTGCTTTTCCACGCCGTGAGTGTGCAATACCGCCCGACTGGATACAGGTGACCTCACAAGCCAGGTGGGGTCCTTGAGAGGTTGAATTCAGTATCGGCGCTGGTATATCCGCGTGCCTGAAAACCGACCACTCCACGCTTAGTCCCGCTCCATTCCGTATCATCCCGCATACTCTGGCTACGTCAAAGACAACCACAGGCCAATCCTGGCCTCATAGTCCATTTACCAGGCTTGACAGCCCTTCCACGTTCTCACGAAAGCTCCCAGAAGTTGACTCCTGATAGGGTCCATCCTAACAGTCTGTCGCTACAGTGGAGACCCATGCCAAGAAACATCCTGCTCGCCTCCAGGGTACCCTGGGTTTCTTGGGTTTCGATGGTTTTGTTATGGAATGCGCGACGTTCCCCCACCAACAATCAATGGACGTCCTGGGGTCTAAGGGTTGGGTTTCTTGTGGAAGGTCTCTTGAGGACTGGCCTCCACTGTACTCCATCCGCTTCTGGCCCCCCACGGAGGAGGAGGAGGAGGAGGCCCTGATGGCGTGAGTAGAGGAGGTGCCTTACTTCGAGGTAGGAGGAGGAGGAGGAGGAGGAGGAGGAGGAGGTGAGGTGAGGAGGAGGAAAGTGTAGGATGAAAGGGAGAAAAAGTGAGGGGGAGGAGGGAGGGAGGAGGATGATGAGTGAAGAAAAGGGTGATGAGTAAGGAGGAGGAGGAGGAGAGGAGGGCGGAGGAGAGGAGAGGAAGGATGAGGATGGAGGAGGTAGTATAGATGAAAAGGGAGGAGGAAAGGGAGGTAGAAGTGAGGAGGAAAGGGGATTGAGGAGGAGAGGAGGAGGGAGGGAGATGAGGATGCCGGAGGAGGAGGGGATGAGTAGGAAGGGGTGGGAGGAGGGAGGAGAGGGAGGAGTGGGGGGGGGGAGGTTGGGAATGGCGTACGGAGGGGAGGTGAGAGATGGAGTGGGGGTAGAAGTGTGAGGTGTGTGGAGGAGCAACTGATGCGGGGGGCCGTCGGGCGGGCGGTGTAATCTCCCACCCTCCGCCCCTGAAACGCCGGGGCGCGCGCCCGCACGAGCGCGCTGGGGCCGCTCCGCTCCCCCTCCTCTTCCTCTCGGCCGAGCTGCAGCGCCCTTGGGCGCCGGGCCTCGCCGTGCGCCGCGGCGAGCCCGAGCGGGCGCCGCCTGCCGCTGCCGTGGCCCTCCCTCCACCGCCCTCCTTCTCCTCTCCTCGGCTCGTGGCCGCGTGGCCTCGTCCTCGGCCTCGCCGCCGCCGCCGCCGCCGCCGTCGTCGTCGTCGTCGCCGCCGTCGTCGTCGTCGCCGACGCCGCCGCCGCCGTCGTCGTCGTCGTCGTCGTCGTCGTCGTCGTCGTCGTCGTCGTCGTCGTCGTCGTCGTCGTCGTCGTCCTCGGCTTCGCTCAAGATCACCTGTGGATAGCGTATGGGCTCGCACTTGCTGACGCGCCTTGGGCGTATGGCTTCAGCAGGTCCCTTCGCTCTTTGAAGGACATCGAGAAGGGACAAACGGAAACTTTCGGAGCTCCGCGCGGATCTCTCTTGTCCTGAGGGAAACAGTTCATTTTTTTTTTTTTTTTTTTTTTTTTTGTTTTCGGGAGTTCGGAGCTCTCCGCGGGGCCCGGGGCTGCTGCATAGACTACTCAGGAGTATCTGGCCCCAGGGGAAGGCCCTGCGGTCCAGGGTCCAGAGCCCGATCCCCGCAGGACCCGTTTCCTTCATGCCAGCCCGATCCCAAATCCACCAATCCATGGCCAGTAGGCTGACCGTGAGAAGCCAGACATGCAAGGACGGGAATTGGGCGATGGTAATCAGGCGGGGAGGGGAGGGGCTGGGGGGAATGGGATGGAAGGAGGCAGGGATGGGAGGAGGGGAAGGAGGCGAGGAGGAGCGAGGGGGTCACCCTCCTCGGCTCCTCCTCCTCGACTTCTCCTCAGGTCCTTCTCATTCTTCTCGCTGTCGTCGTGATCGTCGTGGTCGTGTTCTTCTTTCTCCTCCTCTTCATTCCCCCCTCCCGTCTACTCCCCTCCCATGCCCTCCCGCACCCACCCTCCCTCCTCCCTTAACCCGCCTGCCCTCCTTCCCCCGTCCTGCCCTCCTTCCCCCGTGCCTCGCCCTGGCCTGCGCCCCCCGCGCGCAGGTCCCCGGTGAGGACCTCGTCGGGGCGAGTGTGTGCTGTGACCACCCGGACTCCGTGTAACTGTTCGCAAGCGAGAGCCCCATTTTGAAAAGGAACCGCCCTCCATCCATGCAGCTGTAGCGATGTGTTGTGTGATAACGATTCGGATGCTGTTGCTGCTGCTGTTGCTGTTGCTGTTCTTCTTGTTGTTGTGATTGTTGTCGTTTTTGTTGTGGTTGTGGTTGTTGTTGTGGTGGTTGTTGTTGCTGCTGTTGCTGCTGCTGTTGTTGCTGCTGCTGTTGTTGTTGTCGTCGGTGTTGTTGTTGTTGTTGTTGTTGTTGTTGCCGTCGGTGTTACTGTTGTTGTTGCTGCTGTTGTGGTGTTCGTTGTTCTGATTGATGTTGATGTTGGTTTTGTTGCTGTTGTGGTGGCTGTAGGCGTTGTTGTTGTGGTTGGTGTTGTTGTTGGTGTTGCTGTTGTTGCTGCTGCTGTTGTAGTAATCGTCGTCGTCGTTGTTGTTGTTGCTGTTGTTGTCGTGGTAGTGGTTGTTGTTGTTGTGGTTGATGTTATTGTTGTCATTCTTTATATATATATAAATGTTTGTTTGTTTGTTTGTTTGTTTGTTTGTTTGTTTGGTGCTGTTGTTGTTGCTGTTATTGTTGTTGATGTTGTTGTTGTTGTGGTTGTTGTTGTTGTTGTTATTGTTGTTCTTCTTGTTGTTGTTGTTGTTGTTGTTGTTTTTGTTGCTGTTGTTGTTGTGGTTTTTGTTGTTTTTGTTGTTGTTGCTGTTGCTGTTGCTGTTGTTGTTGTTGTTGTTGTTGTTGTTGTTGTTGTCGTTGTTGTTGAACTCTCATTCTTGAAGAATAATTGCTGTTGATCCCCCCTCACCGGTGCACATTTTTTTCAATTGAAGTGCCCCCCCCCGGGGCTCGCACCTTGTTTTTTGTCAAAGAAAGTCTTCCTGCTCAAACTGGCCCCCTGTCCCCCGGAATACAACAACAACGGCTCCCGCCTAAGACTTCCTCACAATTTAGCCAGGACCCCCGCTCCCGCCCGAGACTTCCTCGCATTTTATTCATGAATCGCGCTCTCGTTTGGGACTTCCTTGCAATTGATTCAGGAATCGCTCTCCCGGCGCTGTGGAGTCGCGCTTTCGCTGGAGACTTGCTTGCAATTGACCATAGAATAGCGCCCTTGCGTTGGATTCTCTTGCAATTTACTCAAGCGCCGTGTTCCCGACACCCAGGCACCCAGGAGTTGCGTTCACGCTTAGGATTCCTTCACAGATTACCTAGGATCTCGCTGCCCTTCGTGGCCCCGTTGCAGCCCTTCGTGGCCCCCTCGCTTTGTTTCGTGGCCCCGTTGCAGCCCTTCGTGGCCCCCTCGCTGCCCTTCGTGGCCCCGTTGCAGCCCCTCGTGGCCTCCTCGCTGCCCTTCGTGGCCCCGCTGCAGCCCTTCGTGGCCCCCTCGCTTTGTTTCGTGGCCCCGTTGCAACCCTTCGTGGCCCCCTCGCTGCCCTTCGTGGCCCCGTCGCAGCCCTTCGTGGCCCCGTTGCAACCCTTCGTGGCCCCCTCGCTGCCCTTCGTAGCCCCGTTGCGGCCCTTCGTGGCCCCCTCGCTGCCCTTCGTGGCCCCGTAGACGTCTGCCCTTCGTGGCCCCCGCTCGTTCGCGCCCGTGGTTGCCCCATATGCATGCCCTTCGTGGCCCCGCTGTCGCCCTTCGTGGCCGCCTCGCTGCCCTTCGTGGCCCCGTTGCTCAGTGGCCCCGTTCTTGCCCTCCGCGGCCCAATATACGTATGCCCTTCGTGGCCCCCGCTCGTTCGCGCCGGTTTTGGCCCCATGTGCATGCCCTTCGTGGCCCCGCTGTCGCCGTGTGTGGCCCCCTCACTGTCCTACGTGGCCCAGTTGCTACCTTCAGTGGCCCCATCGTTGCCTTCTGTGGCCCCGCATTATCTGCCTTTCGTGGCCCCCGCTCGTTCGCGCTCTTCGTGGCCCCATACGCATTCCTTTCGTGTCCCCGCTGTCGCCCTTCGTGGCCTACTTCGTGCCCTTCGTGGCCCTGCTGTCGTTCTCTCTCGCTCTCGCTTTCGCTCGTCGTCGCCGTCGTCGTCGTCGTCGTCGTCGCCGTCGTCTTCGACGTCGTCGTCGTCGTCGTCGTCGTCGTCGTCGTCGTGGGTCGTCGTCGTCGTCGTCGTCGTCGTGGTCGGTCCCCTGTCCGTCCCTTTTGGGGTCGGGTCGACGGTCCGCGGCCGCCCCGCCGATCAGCGCTGCCGCTGGCCAGGCCGACGGTCCGCGGCCGCCCAGCCGCTTGCCAGGGCCCGGCCTGCAGGGAAGAAAGGTATACCCCCCAAAAGGGGTTCGATCGAAGACGAAGAGGGCGGGTATCGAGGGTTTGGGAAATAGGCGTTATTGGACACTCGAGCAGATATGGGCGAACAGTCTTAATACGATTGTTGTTGTTGTTGTTGTTGTTGTTGTTGTTGTTGTTGTTGTTGTTGTTGTTGTTGTTGAACATTATTTATTCTAAAGAATAATTATTGTTGGGGCCCCTGGTGCGCGCCCCCCTCGCCGCGCCTAGGCCGCAGCCACATTTTCATCATTTTCGTGAGGAAGTCTCAGGCAAAACGGGTTGGTCCGGATCCGGTTGTTTTGTTACGGCCCGCTTTCCCTGGCAATAAATTAGCTAAAGTGGACATTTCTTGTTCTAACATAACCAAACTTCAAGAATCCCTTGCAAAAATAAGGTAAAGTGGACATTCGCGCGCGCAAGACGAAATCCTTCCAAAACCTTAGTTTTCGTAGCGATTTTAACATAAAAACATCAAAAACCAATGGTTTTTCAAAAAAAAAATGTCAAAATTTCATCCCGCGCGCTCTTGCGGATTCGTAGGAAACCCGACACTTTTTAAACATTTCTGTCAAACGGGCTTTTGCGAGCAACTTTTTCGAACTTCTGCAACAACGGTTGCGCACCTGCCAGGGCCATCATCCCTGTCAAATAATACCATGCGGGACACATTCGTTTTTTCTTCGCGCGCGCACGCCGACATCTCCAAAAACCATTGGGTTCTGTGGGTGTGTACCCCACGCCAGTGTAGTAGCCACGGTCGTCCGCACGCCACGAAGTGAAGTGTCCCAACGTCATAGGGCGGGAAGCTGGTTTTGGGTGGTCGCGAAGAGTCGTTTGGATATTTGGTAGAGCTTGTAATGCCCCCCCACGAAGTGGGGGTATTGCCTGGTGTCGTATGAAAACCCTGGCACTGTGGAGAACACCACGCGTTCGGGTAAAATGATTGTTGTTGTTGTTGTTGTTGTTGTTGTTGTTGTTGTTGTTGTTGTTGTTGTTGTTGTTGTTGTTGTTGTTCTTGTTCTTGTTGTTCTTGTTGCTGCTGCTGCTGCGCTGCTGCTGCTGCTGCTGCTGCTGCTGCTGCTGCTGCTGCTGTTGTTGTTGTTGTTGTTGTTGTTGTTGTTGTTGTTGTTGTTGTTGTTGTTGTTGAACATCATTTATTCTAAAGAATAATTATTGTTGGGCCCCCTGGTGCGCGCCCCCCCTGCGCCGCCTAGGCCGCAGCTACATTTTCATCATTTTCGTTAGGAAGCCTCAGAAAAGAGGGTGTGTACAGGATCCGGTTGTTTTGTTGTAATCCGCTTTCCCTTGCAAAAAACACTATAAAATGACATTTCTTGTTCTAATATAATCAAATTTCAAGAATCCCTTGCAAACAATAAGGTAAAGTGGACATTCGCGCGCGCAAGACGAAATCCTTCCAAAAGCTTAGTGTTCGGAGCGATTTTAACATAAAACATCAAAAAACCAATGGTTTTTCAACAAAAAAATGTCAAAATCTCATCCCGCGCGCTCTTGCGGATTCGTAGGAAAACCAACACTTTTTAAACATTTCTGTCAAACGGGCTTTTGCGAGCAACTTTTTCGAACTTCTGCAACAACGGTTGCGCACCTGCCAGGGCCATCATCCCTGTCAAATAATACCATGCGGGACACATTCGTTTTTTCTTCGCGCGCGCACGCCGTCGTCGTCGGCCGCGGGGCCCTGAATAGTAGCCACGGTCGTCCGCATGCCACGAAGTGAAGTGTCCGAACGTCATAGGGCGGGAAGCTGGGTGTGGGTGGTGGCGAAGAGTCGTTTGGAAATGTGGTAGAGCTTGAACCGGCCCCCCCACAAAGTGGGGGTATTGGCGGGCGTCGTATGAAAACCCTGGCACTGGTGAGAACGGAGTGTCCCCACGTGCTAGTAATTGTTGTTGTTGTTGTTGTTGTTGTTGTTGTTGTTGTTGTTGTTGTTGTTGTTGTGGTTGATCACAAGGACACTCAACAGGGCCCGTGCTCCCAAAACAACGAGCAGCCACGGGGCCCCTTCGGGCTCCTTGCGGGGCCTCTTGAGCCGGTTTGTTTGGCGCCATCCTGGGGCGCGTTGGAGCTCTCGTGCGCGTCTCGTGTGCCGCCCCGAAGGGGCCTCGTTGTGTTGCTAGTGGGTTCAGCGCATTCCCGAGGGATTCCTCAGGATTCCTGGGTGGTTCCTGCGGGTCCCCCGATGGTTCCCTAGGAATTCCGTCGGGCTCCCCGAGGATCCCTTAGGATTCCTTAGCGTTCCTTGGTGCTTCCGAAAAGGTTCCTTCGGGATTCCTCGAGGGTTTCTTTCGGGGTTCCTTAGGGATTCCTCACGATTCCCTGAGGATCCCCTAGGCATTTATTCGGATTCCTTTCGAATTCCTGAAGGATTCGCTCGGGTTTTCCAAGGATTCCTCATGGACTTTTCAGGATTCCGGAGGGATTGTTTAGGATTCCGTCTGGTCTTCATAGGGCTCCTCAAGGAGTCCTTAAGATTTCGTAAGGATTCCGGGGGATTCCCTAAAAATGCTCTTCAGGGTTTCCTCCGGGTTTCCTGCGGATTCCCGAATCATTCCTGAGGATCCTCTTGCGATTTGTGAGCATTCCCTGCGGATTCCGGAGGGTTCCCCAGGGATCCCCAGGGCTTCCTTGGGGATTCCTAAGGTTTCATTAAGGATTCCTGAGAGTTCGCTAGGGATTCTCCAAGGCTTCCTGGGGATTCCCTGGGATTCCTGTGGGATTCCTTGGGGATTGCTTTTCTTTCCTGGGGAATTCGTAGGGATTCCT